CCCAGGTGGTGCCGGATTATCAGAAATGCCGGACTATCAGGAGGTACTCTGGCAGGGGCGGGTCTCGTCGAAGGAGAAGCGGAGGATAGCTGTACATTATCTTCATTTTATAGGTGAGGAAACTGAGGTACAAAGATCACTGTTACTAACAGCACCTTTGACCATTAGAACTGAGAACATTTTTAAAAAAACCTTACTTTTCGCTGTTTATATTGCTTGATTACTTCTTTGTATCTCTCTAATTTTGTACAAAATAAATATTGGTCTGTTTTTAAATCAGCATCACTTTTTGGCTCTTATTCTCTATACTCCTGCAATGTTTAGGTTACTAACACAGTAGTCAAATATTGCATCCCAAACCAAAGTACAACTGTCACTTTGTTGTGTTTTTAAATGTTATTGAAGCATTTGTATCACTGTGCTTTGAAAACTAGTTTTGTTTTGTTTTATTCTGGGCTTAAACCACCTTTCCCTTTAAAGAAAGGCAGCTAGACTGTCCCTCCACAGTGCAGCAGATTAATTGAAAACAGGATGCACTCCAGAGAAAAAGGTCCCCTAGTGGGGTGTAATTATGATAGTGGTTTAGAAATGCTATTTACAGCTGAAAGAGAGGTTAGATAAGCAACTTCAACCTAAAAACCTTTGAAAAAAAGATTAAACTTAAACCAGAAAATGACACCTCTACAGGCGCTACAAAATTATATGCAGTCTTCCATATATCAGCAAGAGCTTAGACAAGCTATGCAAAGTGTAAGTGTGTAACCACTGAAATTTTTAGCAGTTATATGGTTATATTCAGGGGAGCAGGCAGGGGCCAGTGTTCCCATCTTCTCCTCCCCCCCTCCACTGACTCTGATAGAGGCGCAGCAGCATGGTATGTGCAAGGAGACAGCTTGAAAGCTGCTTCCCACGTGTACCGACTCCCGCCTCTTTTTTCCCCCACCTCCACCCCCAGCATGCTACTGCCTTTTTTCTCTCTCTGCAAGAGATGGTACATGCGGAGAGCCAGCTAGAAAGGCAGCTTTCTATGTATACCAGCTCCTGCCTGCCCCCCTACCCTCTGCACTGCTGCCTCTCTATTAGAGACGTGTAACCATTGGGATAAACCCAGGTTTATCAGTTAATCAGTTAATTGAGTACACACTAACATCCCTCCCAAGAATGTTGATGGAACAGAAAGGTTCAGCCTGTACTTGTAATATAGAAATCAGAAAAGTTAGTTACAGGATGTTTCATTTTGTGAAATAATTCCATACTAGCAAAGATTTAAATTAATTGCCTCTAGTTTTTGTTAATGTATGAACTCAATAGGTAAAGACTTCACTGAGGTTGCAAATGGTTGTTAGGTTTGTTTAGTTTTCTAAAATAAAAAGGGATCCTAGGTAGGAATGTTAAGATGTGGTTAACTGGCAAATTGAGTATTTGATAGAATTTTTATTGACTACTCAATAAGTTGATAAAGGAAGGCAGCCTCTCTCAGTCCTGGCTTACACTAGGTCCAGGACCTATCCCCACAGTGGCTCTTCAGTTTAATTGTACTGAGAGCTGGGCGGGCAGGCAGGCAGCCCAGCTCTTAGTACATTAAAATACAGAGCCGCAGTGGGGGTAGGTCCCAGACCTGGTGTTAACCAGGACTGAGCTGGGCTGCCTGCCTAGCCAGAGCAGAAACTGTCCACTGCCATAGGCTGCTTCGTGGCAGCAGCCCCTATTTGTGGGGGGTCCTAGCAGACTGGGGCTGATGCTGGTACAGCCTCTGCTTGGCCAGCCTGGACCGCCGTGGCCAAGTGCTACTGTCTCTGATACAGGGGTTGGCACCACAGATACGGTGCTGAGAGGAACCAGCTTTTAAGCGGGCTCACTCCAACACTGGCTCCTGCTTCCCCCTCCCTTGCTGCCTCTGTGGGGCAGGAAGCGTGTAGTCAACTAAATTAACCAATAAACCTACACTTATCTGTTAATCAGCTTGTCGATTACTTGCTTACATCCCTAATTCTAGGAGTTCCATACCTAACTTTTCATGTGTTGCATTGGAAATAGATAGTAAAATATTTTTTCTGCTGTTCTTCCATCTGAATTTGCAAAGCCCCAGATAGCTGCCTCAGGTCATTTAATTAAAAAAAATGAAAATTGGTACTTGTATAAACAGAATGCTGTTTTAGTTTTTTATTTAAGCCTTATCTTCTATTTAGTTTGAAGTGATTCCATTGTAATTTTATTAAATACCTTGAGTATATTCAAGGTTTTTAGTGAGCTTGTTTCATTATTATGCAAGTACCATTTATCAGTTGATTGTAAAAGCTTGAACATTTGCACAGAAATGTCTGTTAAGGAATTCAAATCCCAGATTTACAAGTTTGCTCTGATCTTAACTTTGTCATAGAGAATATCAATGGAAGAAAATGTTCTTTTTAATAAAAATTGTCTATTATACATTGACCTGAATGTTTTTAAATAGTCTGTTTACTAATTTATGTCCCTCCCACATTGAATGGTTTAATTTGTTCTGACATTTGTGTGACATAAAAACGATTAGCAATGTAACTAAATGGTTAATCCCTGTGACATTCTGTCTACCTATATGTGTAGTACTATGTTAATTAGAAGGGCCAGTGAAATTTGATTACATTTATAATTGATTTAAGCTATTTTGTGGACCACTTACGCGATTTTTTTTAATGCATTAAATTGTTTTGATCTTGCAGGTGTGCAATCTACCATAAATGTCTTTCAATAGGATTTGTGCTTCTAAATCTTTTGAAAATCCCTCCTTTGGCTTTTTTTTCCTTTCCTTTTTTCTATTGCATAAATCTAGCAGAAAGTTTCTGCTTAATTTTGAATTCCTGTCTTGGGGAGTTGGTTTAATTGGCTTAATGTTCAGTTTAGTAGTTACTGCACTCATAAAAATTATGTTTATCCGCCTGTTTGTTTAGTTACTATGATGTATCAAATATTTCTATAGCATCGAAATGCATCATATAGATACTAGGGATGTTAAATGTCAGTTAATTGAATAGTCAATTAACCTCATGAATTCTTATCAGTTACTCAACTATTCTATAGTCCATAGGAGTGGGGCTGGCATCCAGTGTGTTCCGGCCGCTCACTTGAGGAGTCCCCTCCACTCCGCGCTGCTTCCGCTGTATCAGAGGCAGCAGTGCGGGGTACCAGGCGACAGCTGGTCCATGAGAGGAGCTAGTTTAAAAAAACAAAGGCAGCAGTGCAGGGTGGCCACAGCCCCTATTGGGGGCTGATTTGCCAAACCTGGCTCAAGCCGGAACTGAGCCAGGCTGCCTGTCCGCCTGGCTCCTAATGTACTTTAAATGCAGAGCCATAGTGGGGATAGGTCCCGAACCCAGTGCAAGCCAAAACTTAGCTGGGCTGCTGGCCAGCCTGCTAAAAAAATTTACTGAGGGGTGGGGGTGGAATGCATGTAGTCCATAGCATTAACCTATAAGCTTTCGCTTATTGGTTAATTGCCTACACTATTACATTCCTAATAGATACCATTATATAAAACAAATACTATTACACTGGAATGTAAAAGTAGATTATATTAGTCAAACACCAATCCCTGGCAAAGCAATTATTACAATTCCCAGAGTAAATCCATTAAAATTATTTCATCGGAAAAATAAGTCATTATCTATTTATTTTATTTTCACAACTGATTTTGCTAAAATATATTAATGCAATGATGAGCAAAGCCATACAAGAGCACAATCTAGCAGGCCATATGCCTTCTTTAAGAGAAGAGGGATCTGTTTTCTCAGAATAGTAGTATAAAATGTGTATTTCTGCATAAAGTAATTCTCCAGTTTCTCCAAATACACAAGCATGTGTATATTAGTATATTTTCTTCTAACTTCAAAAGTAACAGTTTCCACATGCTGAAAAATAGAGTAATAGCTATATATTGTGAGCCTTTTGTATTTCATTAGTGTCTCATACAGGATTCATTCCTACTACAGTAAAACTCCGATGGTCTGGCATCTGATGGTCTGGCACTCCTGATGGTCCGGCACCATTAGGAACCCGGAAGTGCTCTGGGCAGCCGGACATTGGAGTTGCTCTGCACCCAGCTTCCCCGATTCAGCCGCTGCTGAAACTGACCAGCAGCAGCTGCGGGGATGTCAGGGGCAGAACACCCGGGGGGGCTGCTGGGCGGGGCCG